ATTCTAAATCCGAGAGATAGATAACTTATGTGGCTATCTTTTCCAACTAGAATCACTTCAAAATTCCAAGTATTTAGGTCTGGGTCAATTTTTAAACTTAGGCAGAAACTGGAAATATTTAGCTTCCAGTAGTGTGACTCAATGAACTGAATAAACCACCATAAAAGAAACAATAATTTAAAATATCCCAAATTTATCGACCATAGCACAGTGTTAAAAATAGTGGCAAAATTATGAAATCTTCAAAGAAACACACACGAAGATTAAAACCTTTTTGTCACAAAACATGAATTCAAACTACAATCTCAGAGACACCAATGATTATTAAACATAAAAGTGGCAATCTAAAACATAAGAACGAATTTCTCTAAAAATAGAACATGCCAAAATGCCGTCGGATCTCTGATTACTCTAAAAAGGATTAAATAGAAGTGAGCATCTCAAAAAAATACTCAGCAGGCTACACGTGCTGCATAAACTTGATAATTATATATTTAATCATACATTCTTACATGTTGCCTTCATAAATAAGTAAATCGATGATCAAACATTCTACTTAGGTTCTGATGAGCCTCTTGGACCATCAGTTTAACATATATACTTAAGGTTCTGATGCGGCCATCAGTTTAAATATATATAAATCTTTCTTTCATCAAAATTTAAGAGAAATCTCTAAACATACTTTATATACTTCATGCAAATATAACACATAACATGCTTATTTGAAAATTAAATTCATGTAATGACAACTTCGTCTAGGGATCCTACCTCAATTTGTGGTGATGGCGTAGTGACTATGTTGAATCAAGATTCTGTCCAAAACTTTCAAAGGTAGAGTTGAAATTGGTTTCTTCCTCTGTCCCTTTTTTTTTTTTTTTTTTTTTTAAAATTTTCAGTTGAGGAGTCATGTATCCAGAATGTTGGAATTTCAGGTGAGGAGTCATGTATCCAGAATGTTGGAAGAAAATTGAATTCCAATAGCAGAATTTGAATAGAGGTAGGTTTCTTTTTAAAGGATAAGGATAGGGCTTAGCTAATTCTCATCTTTAACTAAATCTGACTTAATCCAAATTCAAGTCTAATTCAAATTGCATAATTTAGAAAGTAAACAACTTCCAATTAACTTTCATCCTAAAATTAAACTATTAAAATACCCAATTCCATTTCACACGTGGCTGCCAAAATCTATTAGATCCTTAATTGACCTTAATTAAACATGTGGATTCTTTGGACATCAATCTCATGGGCCTAACTTATCCGAAATAACGTTTTCTCGAGTACAAAATTCGCCATTTAATATGAGCTTTGAAACAAGCCCAATATTGATATGAAATTTTTCACTAGATGAATACTTGATTATTTGAATGAAAGCTAAAAAATTTTACACGAGATTTATTTTTAAATTAGTCCATCGGTACCTCAAATTAACAAAACATGTCAAGATGAAATAGATGAAATTTTTTTCGGTTGCTACAGTGGTGATACGTTGTGCGATACACTGGTGGTGTTTACAATTGATGGTGGTGGTGGTGGTGCTGGAATGGGGTTAGGGTGAGATGAATAGTATTTGTAATCAATTATTTGGGTGATTGTGACTAAGAGAATGGTTAATTTATGACCAATAAATAATATGTGACTTAAAAATATGAAATTAAGAGTAAATTTGTGATCGTGGCTTGTAATTTGTTAAGTTGTGACCAATTATTTTCATAATTTGTGAGCGTGAAATAAGTTGTGATCTATAAAATTGTGATTTGTGATCAAGAATAATTTGCAACCTATTAATTTGATAATTTGTGGTCGATAAATAAATTGCGAACTACAAAATTTATTATTTGAGACCGAAAAGTAATGCATGACCAATTAATTTGATAATTTGTGATCCATAAATAAGTTGTGACTTATAAAATTTGTGATTTGTAACTATGACACTTTCTAATTGCGACTAGTAAGTAATTGGGGCCATAAATTGTATATTATTGTGACTTTAATATATTTCATCAATAAAATATTTTTTATTATCAATTTTAATAAATTTTAATTATGACTGATTTTTTAAGTTTTAAAATATGTTTGTTAATTTTGAAACTGTGTCTTCTAACGGCTTTAAACATCTATTGTGTCCTTTATAAATTTATAAAAAAAAAAGAATTATTCAAACATTTCATAGAATCCACTATTTATCTCAGTAAACCATTTATAAATTTGCCAATGGAGACCTTAGTGGTTAATTCACATCTCCAATCTTCAGATTCCTCATCTTTTTTTCTCGAGTAGTGACTCAGAAGCTTCTATGCCATGGCATGTCAAGTTGCCCCATGTCATAAAAGAAATAAAAATGTGTTACATATTAGTTTATGAAAACATCTACAGCATCTTATTCTCTTCGTGAGAACTTTCATATACTAAAAGACTAATAGGCTAGTCAGCTCGGCTAGGACTCCTGCTGAGCGGCAATGGGGAATCTTTGTAAGGTGAGGAGAACATTATAAAGAAAAAAAAAATGTCGTCACCATATGATTTGACTGGGTAATGTAGAGGTGATAGAAGGAGTACAACACGTGTGAGCATGATTCGTTTTGTTTAAAAGTTATTTTTGTAGAAAGTATGTTGAAATCTAGCGTTGTTATTATGCTCTTGTTTGATTTTACTAAAAAGTTGATAAAAAAATTATGTTAACGGCAATATTTACTTTAACCACACATTTTATGAAATTTACCAATTTTATTAACTTTTCAATCACAAATTTCATCATCGTCTATCAAAATTTACTAAAAATTTGATATTTAGTGAAACTAAAGAGGGGCTTAATAAAACGACTTTAAAATCAGGTTTAAACGTAAGTTTGATTTATAGAACAGCCAACTAGATCTAAGGGAAGATTAATGTAGCATTTAACTTGTAGAAATATGTAAGAAAAAGAAGGGAAGTAAAAAAAGCATTGGCATGCTAAACCGAATAAAACTAGACATGAATTAAAATGAGTCACATGGATACCTGATGCTAATTATGAAGATAATGCGAATTATTATACACTAATGAAATATCTGATGCGAGTGAAAGAAAATTTGAATTTTAAATTGAAGAGATGAAGGAAGCTGGATCTGGAGGAATGAGGACTTCAACAGATCCTTCCATAAGTTGCACTACTCTCTTCAGGGGCGAATCCAAAGTTTGAGTTCAATTAGGGCAAACCGCGAGTATTGAAAGTTTACTATAAATGGTCAACGTTCATCATAGTGGTGTTGCTTATCAATATTTAATTAAATAATATTCAAAAAATCATATGAACTAGAACTAGATACACCACTAGAACTAGAATTAGGTACAAACTTTCATTTAAAATGAAAAAAATCTTTCCATAATCTGCAAATTGCCCTCGTTTATTTTTCAATTAAATAGGAAATATATATTAATAAAATAAGTTAATTAAACAAGCATTATTAAATTATTTATGTCTTTACATCAATTTTATGTGCTTGTATGACTCAACTTTTTTTGCAATCGATTTTTTGTGAACGAAAAATGGAACATTTTATTAATTAAATAAGTTTTATTGAAAGACTCCTTATGAAACTAAGGCCAATTTTCCTACAAATGCATTCACCACTAATTGGCTAAACTCTCAAATCAATTGATTAGAGAAGAAAAAAAAAAAGAAAATGAAGAAGAGGGACAAAGCACCGGTTAGAAAAAAAAGTTACATTAAAACCGGTAAAACTATATATATATATATATGTGTGTGTGTGTGTGTGTGTGTGTGTGTGTGTAATGTGGCATGTTTGAATCACCTTGCATTTATTTTGATAAAAAATTGTTGAAATACAGAAATTATAAAACGTATTACTATTGAAGAGTTTCGAATCCAGGACTTCTAGTTCAGTAGTAGAAGCACTAACAAATTGTACTACCAGAGATGTTTTTATTAAGATGAATTATCAAATATATAATAAATATTTTATCAATTGTCAACAAAAAAAATCCTCCCAACGAATCCAGCACGCGTGGCCGCAGGGGCTTGCCAAGTGCTGGATTCGCCCTTGACTCTTTTCATTGTAAGCCTTAACATTCGATCCTCCTGAACGCACCTATTGCAAAATTGATCGAAAGATTGTGATAATAATGAAGTAAACTGGAACGAAGATTTACATAGAAACCCATGACGAGAAAAAAATCACAGGTAGAGAGAAAAATTCACTATAATCAATAGCAATTGTAAATGAATAGGGGTGTAAGATGAGTTAAAACGCGAAAACTAGGAAAACACTGTCCATTGAGCGGCAGAGAGCGCTAGGCGAGTGAGAACTTTCCGTTGAAAATTTTATGGTATCGCTCAAGCGTCCAACTAGAGATGAGTTAGCGAAAATGCGGCAAAATTTTTTCATTCCATAAGTTTGATCTCTCCAAAACTACTTTAAATATGACTCCAATATCCAATAGAATTTGGATCACATTACAACAGCACAAAATTGCTATCATGACAAACTTCTCAAATCGCTTGTTGTTGAATGCCTCCTCATCATTTACTACTAAGAAATGTATTGTTCCTTCCTTGTAACAATCATAAGCAAAATCAGCAAGTATCATTTCTATCTCAACCTATACATTGGGTCCATAATTTCCTCTGCAATAGATAAGCTCCAGAAACAAGACTTTGAAGCTATAAACATCACCTTGGGTATAATTGGCATGTTTCTGAGCCATTCTAGAGTGACATACCCTTTGGTTTCCCTTATTCAGATGGTGGTTCTTGATTGATCTAGCTTCAAAAGCTTGGCTAATACAAAGTCCAATATTTTTGCTATGAAGGATTTGTCTAAGAGCACATATTGATGGTTAACGTCACAATGTTTGATTTGATTGTTACATTCTTCGTGCAAATAACAAATACCTTTAGTGGTGGCAAATGCAGTCTACATTCTTTTGTACCAGTTGGTCCTTGAATTTTCAAATGGAAAGTTTGCTAAATAACCATCGCTCATGTATTCATATACCTAAAGCTAGTTCTGGCCCTCATCAGAATATCCCAGCAATTGAACTAGATTCTTGAATGTAGATTTGCTAATTGAGCATACTTCCACTTTAAATTCTTGCTCCCCTTTTGTAGCCATCTTTTCAACTTTTTTCACAGCAACAACTGTTTCAATATTGTCATTCTTAAGAATATCCTTGTATACTATTGAACAAGAGCCCCTGCCCAATTCCTCTTTGAATCCATCTGTTACTACTTGTAGCTCTTTGAAATTTAATCTTCTTATGTTCAGGCCTAAAAGATCTTTCTATGGATAAAGCGTCTTTGTATTATTACTGTCTATTGAAAACAAAAGCATACAACAAAAGTACAAATAAGTTAAGAAATACGAAACTACCTAAGAAAACTGATCCAATGATGACGAGAGTGGATCGGTTAGACTTCTTAGAACCAAAGGACTACACGGTTCAGTTGGTATTCCTTATTTTTTTCAAAGCTTTTCCTCCTATACTAGAATCAACCCTCTCATTGGAGAGAGGATATCTCCTCTTCCAACAATTACCATCTCTATAAATCACAACAGCACAAAAACAATCAATGAGACAAATCTGTCAACTGTAAGTGTTATGACATGTGTCCAATCAACTTTGGACATAAGTACTTTTAGAAAATAATTAATGAAATTTATGGCATATCTATTATTTAATTAAAAGTCAATTAAATTAGACAATAGAGTCGGTAGATTCAAATCATAGTACTTTGTTAATCAAAAGAAGTTGTAATTGTGATATACAAATTATATAAATTGAATTTTAGATCATCTGTGATCGTAATTAAAAATGAGATACGAATATCTTTATTATGGATAGACTATCATACGTGATATTTCTTAATTGTAAAGCAAGTAGCTGATCTCACAACTTGAAATGTGGTAACACTTAAATGAACACGTAGATGTTTTGTTATAAAACAAAATATTGGAGACCCCCTATGAGATTTCACATGAATAACTATTCGAGTGTCGGTGGTTAATCTCTAATGTTTGGTAGTGAAATTGGTCCTTCAACTTGAGGTCATCATTGTGCCTTATATGAAAACAGTCATACCTTGGTGATATTGGATGTACTCTACCAAGGGTCGCTAATATGGAATCGTATGAAGGTTGTTAATGATCACAAGAGGATTCGTCATTTTTAAATAGTAAGAGATTATGATCTATATTTCGTTCATTTAAGTTGATAATAAAATCCTTGGCCAAGGTGTACTTAGAAGTAAAAAAATGAGTTTTTGACTTATGTTGACTTAATAGTGAAATGAAAGATATGATTGATAATCGAGATTAATACACTTCCATAGCTTGTAATTGATCTGATCATATTGACAAATAGGTTATAGTTTCACGATAAATGAGCAAATTTGATTTTATCATGCCACGTGACAATTTTCGTCACATGTATTGCCCTGACACGTTGCTAGATGTCAATCTAGGACGACGAATATGAATTGCTAATAAATTAAAATGGGTATTTTGAATTATTGATTTTGATTAGATCAAAATTATAATTCATGTCATTAGGCATCATGATTGAGAACCCAATGGGTTACACACAAAAGGTGGACTAGAAGAATAAGAATTGCCAATTAATTAATTGACGAAAAAGTGTTGGATAATTAATTAATTAGGTTACTTATTAATTGGCCGGAATTAATTAATTAGATTAATTAATTCATGAACTAGATTTAATTAATTAGATTAATTAAATATTAGACCAGATTGAGTTATGAGACGGGCTAAGCCCATTTGGGCTCATATAAATAACTTGCTAGAGCAAAAGAAAAGTAAAAACCTTAGTTCTCTAAATCTCGTTCACTATATGAAGTTAAGTTAGAGGTTGGACAATTAAACAGCTGTGGATTGCAGATTATAAATTTTCGAATTCAAGAAAATCAAAGAAGTTTGCAGAATTCAATAAAGGTATAATTTCAATCACAGTTTCTATATAAACATATAGCATATCCTTGGTGGAAATTGAAATTTTGTATAAATTTGGGTGTACATTATTAAGTAAATTCCAAAAGTGGCATCAAAGCATACTTTGTGCTTGTTAGAAACTATTTTGCATTATGGAGCAATCAAAAGTTGATTGCTCATATTTATTTTCTAGTTTTTAGCTATTTAGAAAATTAATTTTCATCTTCAAAAATCTTTCTTTGAAAAGAAAATTACTTTTTGGCTGAAAAATGGATCTAAGGTCGAAGCAAGTGGCGATCGGCAATCGTCAGCAGGCCTTCGACTATGGATGGCAAGGCCAGTGCACAAGCAGCGTGCTCAATGTGCCATTGTAGGAAGCAGCATGCAACAAGGCACTACTGGAGAACAAGATAGTGCGATGGAGCAATGCCATTAGCAAAGGAAATTACGATAATCGTTGTTGTGATTTGAAATGGCGATTGTCGCCTCTGCAAATTGAAAAATAGCAACTTCCACCTGCGGTCACGCAACAGCGTGCACGCTTCTATGCCACAATAAGTTGAACAAATGAAAGTTGGCACCACCAGTTAAAAGGTGTTTCAGTTAGGGTTTTCAAGTTGGGATGGGGGCCTGTCATGAAAATTATGAAATTGCATGCCCTTGGCTGTAATTATTAAAAAAAAGTCATGTTGCAATTATTTAATTAAAATCAAATTTTAATTAAATACCAAATTAGAGTACATCTCTAATTTTGAGGAAAATGTTAGGGAAAGAAAATTTAATTAAAATAAATTTCTAATTAAATATCAAATTAGAGTCAAACTCTAATTTCAATTGGGTTGAATAATTAAATAAAATCAAATTTTAATTAAACAATAAATTAAAGTCCAACTCTAATTTAAATTGAATTAACATTTTAATTTAGGATAATACCCCTAATAAAATAAGGGTAATTAGCATAAAATGTCCTAACCTTTCAATATTATTGGAAAAAACGTCCATACTTTTCATTTTTTGACACTTTTACCCTTTACTTCACATTTTATTGCGAAAATCATCCTTTCCATCAAATTTCTCGTATAAAATGACAAATATATCTCATATTTAAATAAAACAATAAAAAAGAAAAGACAAGTATAAGAATAAGAATAAGAATAAATTGCAATTATACTCCCAAACTTTTTTAAAAAATGCAAATGAGTCCAAATAAATTATTAAAAGGTTAATTAGCACAAAAGGTCTTTACTTTTCATTATTATTGTACAAAACATCCCTACCTTTCATTTTTTGACATTTTCACCCTTATTTCATATTTCATTACGAAAATCGTTATTTTCATCCATTTTCTCAATTAAAAGTTGTAAAATGACAAATATACACTCGTCTTTAAAAAAAACAATAAAGAAATACCAAAAAATAATGAACAAATTGCAATTGTACTCCCAAAATTTTCAAAAATAAGTAATTAAAAAATCACTTTATTTGTTAATTATTTATTTGGAATTTATTTGTACGTTTTTGAAAATTTTGGAAATATAATATAATTGACCCACCCCTAAACCCTTTAACCTAATAAATCCACAGCCCAAATAACACAATACACCACCCCCACAAATACCCAGTGGAAGATCCAAAGCCCAAGCAAGCTACTACAAACTTCATATTTTATTTTTTAAATTAAAATTTGACCAGCCAGAACACCTAAATAATAAATAGATAAATAAGCATAAAAAAAATTGATGCTTGACGAGACTCAAAAGAGTCAAATAGTGTGTCGATCAGCATTTTCAAGTTGGCATGACTACGGTGAAGAGCTACAATTAATTCATCCGAGCGATTGATGTAATTACAAGAACCAAAATTGATCACTGTAAATAGTGCAGTTTTTTCCTCCCTTTGCATAGAAGATGAGAGTTTTGAATAGTGTATTGTGTCCCTATCATATCACGCATGTAGTTGATACACTTAACATTGACATAGCTGAGGAATTACATATAGCATTACAACCAAAGTCAAATATTTCGTGTCTATTTGACCTAGTGCCAAGATTGATATCCCCTGCTATTTTGCGTGACTTTTATGTTGTATTTGTTTTGATGTTACCTCGAATAGATGATACTCTATGGGTTTCCACATTGTTTTCCAAGGTCATCATTCAATTACATACCTTTTCTATTGATATTAGGCAGTTACCTCACATTCTTTTGTTGTCAATATTCCTAATTTTCATGCCAAAATATAACGACAAACTTATTTCAATCATGAAATCTTTGAACTTATTTTTGATGCTCAATATAGACTAGGAGAGTCTAACGATAATTATTATTCTTCGTTGCTTCTCTTTGACTCAGTTTCCTAAACTCGTTAAGAAAAGAGTTTTTGATCACTCACATAAAATACTATTTGATTGGCAATGACACTTGAATGAAGGTTATATTTTAATGTAGAAGAATTGTTTCCTTATTGGGCCCTATTCAAGCCTTCCATTTTGAATCATTTTTCCTGCAAGTCAGTCTATAGCATTAGTTCCTTGTGCTCATTATCCACAATCAGATGTAAATTTTGAGGATGAATTGTACAAGTTTGTAATCTTTTAGAGTTTCACGTCGATACTTGATTAAAAAGAGAGATTATCCTCCTTGGTTAAATCATATTATTGGGGATGATTTGCAGCTTCACTGTTGTCACATTATCAGTTTCAATATTTGGTTCAAAAGAAAGATTACCCTACTTTGAATGAATTCGGCCACATGTAGTTGTCAAGGGTACAATAATGACACTTAGTCAATATAAAAGATAGTCCTCCTTGGAATATAAAGTTCTAGCTTACCTCATTGGAGTCGTTCTCTCAATCGATGGAAAATGATGGAGATCAAAATAAAATAAAGATATAAGCTAGATAGAATTTTAATACAAAGTTTAATTTGATTTATAAGTGTTTTAATTAGATTATATTAGTTTGTTTATTTTGATAAAGTTTAAATTTGTTTAATTTGATTTGTAAGTGTTTTAATTAGATTATATTAGTTTGTTTATTTTGATAAAGTTTAAATTTTAGTAGAAGTTCGTTTATTTTTAACTTCTTTTAGACTATTTGATTTATAAATAAAGTGCTTAATCATTGTAATTCATCATAAAAATTGATTTCTCTTTGCTCTCAATTCTCCTCTTCTTTGCACTCCTTTCTCTATTTTTAATTATTCGTTAACAAATTATATGCTCAATTTCATTCCAGATATTACATTAAACTAGCCAAAATGATTGTTTGAGCAACATCAATCATGCCCATCTAGTAATGAAATCAGCAGCAACTTAAGGGAATGCCATTGAGGAAATTAACTTCAATGAAATGAATATAAGGAATTGTAGTTCATGCAATACTAGGAATTCAACGGCAATATATAAAATTATACGAACAGCCATGTATTGATAAATCAAAATTAATTAATTATTGTTAACTCAAGAGGTAATTAGAAAGTAATTCCGGCCTGATCAAATTCCCGATGTCTTATAAACACAATTTATTTCACTTCATGCTCGAGGTCTGTCTACTAGAATGGATTTCCGTTCTCATGAAAGCAGCAACTCAATCACA